CTCAAAATAGATATATTTTTTAGGAAAGAAGTTGATCCACGATTGTTAGGGTTAAGAGCTATCGAGTGGCGAGTGCAAAGTCTTTACATGAATTAGACTTAGGGCTTTGAACTGAAAGAGTTTGTGATTTTCTATATTCTTTTGAATTTAAATTTTTAGTTTTAAGTTAAATAATTTTGGATAATTTTATATTTAGTTCATAATGATAATATGATTCAGTATTTAGAATGATAAACTTGTGTGATTTGTACCTAATACTACTAGTACCAGTACCACATAAGAATTTTATATTCTTCATTCTTACAATCTTTGCTTTGTAGTAAGACCCACACTTCTGTTGTTATTGCGTTAGAATTAAAATAGTCTAACTGATATATATAGTTCTGATATTTTGCAAATGGTTCAAACTCAGTGTACAAGTGACAACAATAAAACCCATATGTTGGTTGTGAAACAGGCTAAATGCATTCATCTCAATAATACAGGGAAGCTATGACATTCTTACAGTTTGGGTCTCAATACACTGAAGAGCTTAAGTTTCGAATTCCAACATAAATCTTGCCTATAATGAGAAGAATGTGACCAGGACTAATCTTTTTAAGTGTTGTAAAGTAATTTTCTTTGTAATTTATGGTGTCTGTATCGTTTGGTAATCTCTTCTAACAGAATGTATCAAGTAACAAGGGGTCAGGCTCAGGCAGTGTTTATTAAAACCACCTGTACTATAAACTGTTACATACATTTGTTAGTAGTGGCAATTAGTTTTGTCTCTATAGTGAAACAACATACATGAACATATGTTGAAATAAACTTGTTTGAAAGTTCAAAGAAATGATATTCAAGTACCGAAAAGCTTTCTTACTATCATATCTACAGTAATGTTCAAATGTGCTCACGTTGGGCTGAATGAAAATGACCCCCAACAGGGGTGAGATAGTTTACGGAAAACGTACAAAGTTCACGCTGCTGACTCCACAGTTTATTCGGCACAATAAACAAAAGTACGGCTGCAATGAAACATAAATATAAACTTGAAATAAAAATATATCTATGAAACAAGATTAAAATGTTTTTATATGTGTGTATATATATATAAACATGAAATCTTAGTTAAAGATAAAAATACTCATTTATTGTTTAGGTTAATTTACAAATATTATTTTTGGGTCTTATATATTACTTGAAACCATAAGGAGAGCACCTGATTATTAAAAAATGAAAAAAATAGATAAAATTTGCATTTTATGGATAATACAAATTTTTAGGATTGCAGAACAATGTACTAAAACATAAAAAGTAATCAGTTCAAATCTGGAACAAATAAATATTGTAATAATTTCTTATAAATACCATTTCCTAATGTAATTTTCCAAGATATTAAAGATCATAATGCAAGAAAACTAAATTTATCAAAAGTAACAGGCTTTATGTTTCTTAAACTACATACATTTATGAAAGTTCTTAAGAAGTTTCAAAACTTTTTAACTAATAGTTTTATTGTTGGAATGACATATAGCAAGACTTGCATTGGCTACTAAGAAAGTTAGTAGCTGGTAGTCATTGGGTTAAGCCGCATGCTGAATCCTTTTTTTCTTTCGATGAACCTGTTTTTCACACTTAAGGTGTTTTTGAATTGGTTGCATGTAGCATCAAATATGTGGAATTAAAAAATTTGCATTTTTTTTTAAACCACATATGAATGTTTTTTCATTTATTTGAAATATCTGTAAATATTGTGACATCAGCAAATTATACAAATTAGAACCTTCAAAGGTTAACATCGACCCTTTGTTATAGTCTGAACAGTGGAAGTAGACATCATTAGTAAATTAAACAAATTAGAACCTTCAAAGGTTAACATCTACCCTTTCTTATAGTCTGAACAGTGGAAGTAGACATCATTAGTAAATTATACAAATTATAACCATTGGAAGTTAAAATCTACCCTTTGTTATAGTCTGAACAGTGACAGTAGACATCAGATGTTAACCTTTGATGGTTCTAATTTGTATAATTTACTAAATGTCTACTGCCACTGTTCAGACTATAACAAAGGGTATTCTAATTTGTATAATTTACTAATGCCTTCAGAGGTTAAAATCTACCCCTTGTTATAGTCTGAATATGTGGCTATAGGTAGTGGTGGCCAGTTGTATTATTTCTGGTTGGAAGTTTAAAATGAGTAGTAGTAGCAGGTAGCCTTAGTAGCTTTACCATAACTCAAAACAAAAACAAATAAAGAAATATAATGCCATTATGACTAAAAGGGAAGCATGTTTGGTGGCAATATGAATCAAAGCCCAGACCCTGGAACCATGAGGCATCCTCCTGTCCCCAATCACCTACCTAAGTCTGAATTAATAGAAAATAATGATGAGAAATACTAATTTCAATAATTTGGTTTCTCGTATAGTTGAATTAATCAAACACAGTATTAATGTGAAGTGCTAATTTTGATTAGTAGATTGTTTTCATGATATTAGTTGATATAATCTATGGACATACCTTAGGTAATCAAGTATGTCAAGTTAATTGTTAAAAACTTACATTAATATTTTCAGTAATGAATAACTAATTTTGATTAGTAGATTGTTTTCATGATATTAGTTGATATAATCTATGGACATAACTTAGATAATCAAGTATGTCAAGTTAATTGTTAAAAACTTACATTAATATTTTCAGTAATGAATAACTAATTTTGATTAGTAGATTGTTTTCATGATATTAGTTGATATAATCTATGGACATAACTTAGGTAATCAAGTATGTCAAGTTAATTGTTAAAAACTTACATTAATATTTTCAGTAATGAATAACTAATTTTGATTGAATTGATACGATAGTGGAGTTTAGAAAGTATTATGCTTGTTACATTCAGAAGTGAGAATGTCCTTTAACCCAGATTTTCTAAAGTAAAGCATGCAATTTCTCCTTGTTTTTACTTAATTGGACAGTTTGGATATGTATATGTGATAGTTTGACATGTTTCTATGTAGAACAAATTGTTTCAAACATTCGAGATGAAATGAAGAGACTTCAGCACAGGAAACAGCTCCATTTTTCACATTCCGAAAGCCAGGTGTCAGAGTCTCAGTTCCCCGACATGTCTGGAAGTTATGGTTCTGCATCCAATCATAAAGACCAACCTTTATTTACCTTCCGTCAGGTTGGTATAATTTGTGAGCGACTCTTAGCTGAGAGAGAACATCACATCCGGGAGCAGTATGATCAAGTCATGACTACAAAACTTGCTGGTAAGGGGGAGTCAGGATCAACACCTATTTAAGTATTTAGAGATTATTAGAGCTGGGCAGTTATTAAAATTTGCTAATCAGTTAATCATTAGATATATTAATCAGTTATTCTCACATGAGACTTGGATAGTCTGAATATTCATAAAGATTAATTTTGATTATTTTGGTGGCATTGATAATATAATTAGTGCCCAGCTCTACTGTTGATGTGTGCTACTAGTGTAGCTGTTTTTAGTTCATAAAGGTCTCACAGATAGTTAAAAACTGGTACAACAAATAAGATTTTATGTTGTGTGTACAGAAATCTTGAATACAAGTTTATAGAGATTCTAATTTCATTGTATAAGTTATTGGTTACACTATATTTGGAGTACTTCATTCAGTCTTGGGCTCCTTACCTTAGAACTATCTTAAAGATTTCAGAGTAGAGTTACTAGGATGGTGCCTGGAATGAAAAAAGTTGTCATACAAGGACAGGTTAAGATCTCGGAAATTGTTTTCTCTTGAAAAAAAAAGTTAATGGGTATCTGTTTGAAGCGTTAAAGATTGTTGAGGAGATGGACAGTATTGATTTATCTTTTTTCATAACTTGGTAAAAATGGTAGGACTAAGGGACTTAAACATAAATTTTAGCAGGGTAGTCATCTTCAGCTTACAAAGCTTTATTTTAAAAACAGATTGGTTAGCCTTCAGATGTGGTGGATGCAACAAATTTAGTAAGAGTTTAACCCTTTCTCGACTGCTTGGTATAAAATAAGTTCATATACACATTAAGTACTTATACTATAAGTTTTAATGTATCTTCACGAAAGTTGGTAAACATTACAAGTCTTTTATACATACAAAGTCAGATTTTTTAATAAGTATTTTTACTAAAGATTTGTTTGTAAATATATCAAGTCTGTTTCATTCCTGGTCCAAGTATTATTTGTGTAATCTCTAAAACCTCCTAAATACATTTCAAACATTTGTTATTAGTAAAACTGTATATTTTATCTGTTATTTTCTCTACCCTAACTCTATATGGGGTCCATCAATTTGACCGACCTCGTAACCAAGGGAATAAATATACATTATGCTTTTTTCGTTCTAGAATGACTACATATTGTAACATGAAAACACAAATGTTTAGTCTAGATAGCTTAAATATCATAACATTATACATTTATATATATTTATTATATTGACCTTTCGGTTGTGTCTGGCTATCAATAGAGAAGTTACAATGACAAGGCACACTCCAATAATATAAAACTGACCATTACCCGTTACAAAGTGACCTGTCTAGTATTTTGTAAAATAGTCACATTTTAATTATTATACATTATATATGTATATAGATTATTGATAATTAGAAATAATTTCTTAAACATAACTGTAAATAAAGAAGTAAAGCAAACAATTATCTCTTCTAGTTATGACCTTTGTACTCGGTTGCTGCTTGCTGTAGGTTTATATGCCTTATCAAATATCGCACGTGAAGGATATGAAATGAAATATTTTTTTAGGTTTTATATAAACATTTTGAAATAACCAAATATCATAAAATACTACATTAATACCACAGAATTCCACTATAATTTATTAAGTTTAATAACTAAGCTGTATTTGGGCCTAAAAAATATGAAATTTCGAGCAAACTAAAGTATCACTTTACCAGCTTGAAGATTTGTATCGAAAGAATGAGGTGACATTGTAATACTGAAAATGGCTGAGAAAGCCAAAAGGGGGGACAGCCTGAGCTTTTGTTTGGTTATTCACATGTCATAGAAGTGTATATAAGGGGGGTGTTTCCAAAAATGGAAAGAGGTGAGTGGGACCACTGTTTGATTCAGCAAATAGAAAAGATAGGAGATTCTTATTTTATATTCTAGCTTGTTAATATCTGTAATTTGAGTTCCTAATTTATTAGAAACTACAGACTTTGTATTTTGACATCACAAACGTCTTATTTGAACAAGTGCTGCATTCAACATACCATACGATGCACAAAAATCAATGTTTAACTTTGTTTTTTTAATATTTACTTTTAAATTAAGAAATTAAATAATATATAATTTTAAAATTTGAATTATAATCTACAATTTGAAAGCAAACTTATTAACATAAATTCATAAGATACTAGTTCAATAAAATTTTGAATGCAAGTCAACAAATGCAATGACATGGCCTTTGACTCATGTTGATAGGGTTTAAGGAAGCCTTGATAAATATTTCAATGATGAGGGCTAGCTTTGAGTATATTTCTGAGTGGATGGAACAGGTTAATAAGCTATACATTGTTTACTTGTGTTTGTTCAATTGTCTGTTTTACTGATATTGTTTACCTTTAGATTAGTAAGCTTCACATTGTTTACTCATGATGGTTGAATTGTCTGTTTTATTGATATTGTTTACCTTTAGATTAGTAAGCTTCACATTGTTTACTAATGATGGTTGAATTATCTGTTTTATTGATATTGTTTACCTTTAAATTAGTAAGCTTCACATTGTTTACTCATGATGGTTGAATTGTCTGTTTTACTGATATTGTTTACCTTTAGATTAGTAAGCTACACATTGTTTACTCATGATGGTTGAATTGTCTGTTTTATTGATATTGTTTACCTTTAGATTAGTAAGCTACACATTGTTTACTCATGATGGTTGAATTGTCTGTTTTACTGATATTGTTTACCTTTAGATTAGTAAGCTTCACATTGTTTACTCATGATGGTTGAATTGTCTGTTTTACTGATATTGTTTACCTTTAGATTAGGAAGCTTCACATTGTTTACTCATGATGGTTGAATTGTCTGTTTTACTGATATTGTTTACCTTTAGATTTGTAAGCTTCACATTGTTTACTCATGATGGTTGAATTATTTGTTTTATTGATATTGTTTACCTTTAGATTTGTAAGCTACACATTGTTTACTCGTGTCAGAGGGAAGACATTGAAAAGTTGTATTGAAAGTTATTTAATATTAATATTATAATTTGGGTTAAATAACACAATAATAACTAGGCATTGTAAGATTGGTAAATAAAAGTAAGATGGTCAAAGTTTTAACTTAAGAGTTTAGTGGTGTAAATTTTACTACATCAGAAAGCATTTGACAAGGTGCCACACAAAAAATTATCTCTAGGTGTGGGGGATAAGTTAACAAATTGGATAGAAGAGTGGCTGGATCGAAGAAAGCAGAGGATTGTTACAAATGGAGTTCAGTCAAACTGGATTAATGTCACAAGTGGGGTACCTCAGGGCTCAGTCTTAGAACCTTTGTTCTTTTTGATTTACATCAATGACATAGATGAAGGAATAGTCAATAAATTATGTAAATTTGCAGATGATATTAAGGTCTTGCTGGCTGTGAAGGTTGGATCTGCTGATTTATAAGAGGATTTAGGTCATTTAGTGAGTTGGACAAATAAATGGCAGACGGGTTATCATAATTTGAATGGAAATAACCTTAACAGTGTTATGAAGGAAATGGATCTTGGTGTAATAGTTGATCAGTCTCTAAAGCCATCCAAGCAGTGTGCAGTTGCTATTGGTAAAGCTGATAGGATTTTAGGTTGTATCTTCAGAAATATTAAATACAAGTCTAAAGAGGTTATAATTTCATTCTAAAGGTCACTGGTTAGGCCACATTTGGAAAATTGTGTTCAGTCTTGGACTCCTTACCTTAAAGACATTGAGAGTTTCTAGAATGGTGCCTGGGATGGAGGGGTTGCCATATGAGGAGAGGCTGAAATCTCTCAAATTGTTTTTATGATTGTTAAGGGAATTGATAATGTTGACACATCATCTTTTTTATATTTAATAATGAGAATAGTAGGACTAGGGGATATAAGTATATATTTTGGCAAGGTAGGAGTCATCTTCAGCTAACTGGGTGGTTGGCCTTTGGATCTTATAGAGGCAGTAAATTTAAGTGAGTTCAAGAGAAAGCTTGATAAGTGCTGGCTTTACGATTTTTTAAAATTATTTTAATTTAGAAGATGGACCAATGGGTCCAAAAATGTTATGTTACACTTATTAAATTGTTTACTCATGATGGTTGATTTGTCTCTTTAATGATATTGTTTACCTTTAGATTAGTAAGCTGTACATGTACTCATGATTGTTGATTTTATGTATCTGCTTGTTTGTTAATTTCTAGTTGAAATTTTTTCTGAGAAACTTCTGCGATACAAGTCCTTTCTTGGTTAAACCAGTTTATTCTTTCTCGATACAAATATTTAGCACACAGTAATTTCACAATCAGTACGTTTCTAAACTTAACTGTTTTTATAATACACGCTATAAATCACAGCGATTCACAATCTCAAACACACACTAGCTCGAAACAGAATCGTAGATTACTGGGAAGTCTCTTCATTCATTCAATCCCGCAGGCTTATAAACTAAAGAGGAGGGCATCTCGAACGCACTAGGAAATTCATGATCATTCGAAAAACTCCTCGTACACACACCAGCAGTGTCATGTGACTTTTTCTGTCGTAACAGTTTGTTTATTGTTTACTCTTGATGGTTGAATTGTCTGTTTTACTGGTGTTATTATTCACAACTTTACAAACTGTTGTTTTTTGCTAGTCACATACATAGACGTTGATAATATAAAACAAAACACGTTCTCTGCTGTCATAACTCATCAATGAAAGATGTTGACATTATTATGCTAACTATTATTCATTTCCAGTTTGACAACTGCTTTATTTTGTATAGATAACTTTTGAAAATTTGTTAAGAGTTTGTTGATGATTAAATAACCAGGGTTTACTTATTATAAAGAACTAGTTTCTGTGCATTAATTTTCAAGATTTTTTTCTTCTTCTAGAACAATACGACACTTTTGTGAAATTTACCTATGATCAGATACAGAAGAAGTTTGAAAGTGGAATACCTAGTTGTAAGTAAGAGTGGGTTTACTTAGAATCAGTTATATCTAAAGTGGAATACCTAGTCGTAAGTAAGAGTGGGTTAACTTAGAATCAGTTATATCTAAAGTGGAATACCTAGTTGTAAGTAAGAGTGGGTTTACTTAGAATCAGTTATATCTAAAGTGGAATACCTAGTTGTAAGTAAGAGTGGGTTTACTTAGAATCAGTTATATCTAAAGTGGAATACCTAGTCGTAAGTAAGAGTGGGTTTACTTAGAATCAGTTATATCTAAAGTGTAATACCTAGTCGTAAGTAAGAGTGGGTTAACTTTGAATCAGTTATATTGTAAGTAAGAGTGGGTTTACTTAGAATCAGTTATATCTTAAGTGGAATACCTAGTTGTAAGTAAGAGTGGGTTAACTTAGAATCAGTTATATCTAAAGTGGAATACCTAGTTGTAAGTAAGAGTGGGTTTACTTAGAATCAGTTATATCTAAAGTGGAATACCTAGTCGTAAGTAAGAGTGGGTTAACTTAGAATCAGTTATATCTAAAGTGGAATACCTAGTTGTAAGTAAGAGTGGGTTAACTTAGAATCAGTTATATCTAAAGTGGAATACCTAGTTGTAAGTAAGAGTGGGTTTACTTAGAATCAGTTATATTGTAAGTAAGAGTGGGTTAACTTAGAATCAGTTATATGGTTTAAGTTTTAGTTCAATGAATTCATAAAATAATTTAATGTTTTTTCACTTGTCCCTAATACATGCATGTGTAAAATATTAGGATGGTAATACATCAAGGCTGGACCATAATACAGTAATATCAAAGTCATCTCAAGTATTTTTTAAGTAAGGAATAGTACCAAAAGCACTGCCAGAGATGACATTACATTTCCAATATTTAAAATGTAGAAGATTAACGTGGAATTAACCAAGTCCTCTAAGGTCTACCTTTTGTGTTAGAAACACCTAACAAAAGTTAACTTGTGTATCTTACTTTTACCTGTTGGGGGTTTTGTTTTAGTTAATTAAAACAGGATAATTTAGGGCCTAAAAAGGTTGTTTTTTTTTATTTCAGATTTATCTTAACCATGGCTGGTTGGTATTCATTAGTAATTGATGAAATTTATTGACCAATCAGAAGACTTGTGCCATTACCTGATGATGAAAGATTTAATGAAATCTGTGTATTGATAGATAAACAAGAGTTCTATTAAATCCTACAAAATTGTACTTTATGCACTTTTGACTTGCAAAGAGGAAAGTTTGGTATTTTATAGTACACTAAGTTTTGTTAAGGTGAGTGATATTTGAGCTTCTGAATAATGAAATTATGTATAAATGTAAATCTCTTCAAGTACGAGATGAATTTACTCAAGAGACATAATTTATTTCCTGGTTAACTGGTATTAAAGACAACTTCCTATGTTTTCAAGCTAGGTGTTAAGAAAAACTTGTATGTATTTAGTGTTGAATTATGTACATAGCTTGTAACAAACAAGTGAATGGTAACCTACTTGTGTATTGAAAATTTTCACAGAATATGGCTTTGTCAGTATTCCTTAAAAATGTCACGAACTATGAGATTTTATTGTCTGTACCTCCTCAACAAAATTACCAATAAAAATGTATACTTTTACACTGTTGTCAATTGTTTTAACATCACATCTGTTACAAAATTAAACTTTTCTCTGGAAAAAGATTGCTTGTACAATGAATAACACTTTAATTGTTTGTCTTCACTAGAAATGATTGCAGCATCTATTTATGAAAGTGGTGTTTCAAATCGATTTCCAAATTTATTTCAAAAATAGTTTTCTTAGTCTCAAAAACCTCTTAACTAAATTACAAACGTATTTTTCAGTAAAACTTTATATTTTGTTATTTTCTCAACCCTAATTTCATACAAGATTCATCAATTTGACTTCCCTCGTAACCACCAAAAAATTAAAATCTAAATTACCTAAACTTGTAATATGAACTACATCTATTTATATTTAAATTTTGTTTTATTGCTTTTCGAACCCTGTTTAACTACTGTTCAAATTACACAAGATCCTTGCAATCATACTGCACAAAAATTTTTTTTTTTTTACATTTTAGTTACTTTTGTTACAATAAATACTTACCTGGGTTTTTAGTTTTGCTGTTAATGACACTTAACCCTAACTTCTTTTATATATATACTAATGGTAGTACTACACTAAATTTTTAAAATTAAATAATGGACCAAAGAATACAGAATAATAACGTGCAAAAAGCAGACTATATTACAGTTTTTCTAATTTTGGGACATGGGCTGTTAAAACTTCATCTAAGGTCGTTGATGCGTTTCCCATGAGAATCAAGCATGACCTGAAAGCGAATTTTAATTCTCTTTACAGCAAACAACATAATATAAAAATGTCATTTGATAATTGAAAACCTTGGCTTTCTTCTGGTTATTAATAATACAGCATTTTCTGTAAGAGAGGACGTGATAAGAAGGGTCCATTTCATGTTTCTGTAACCAAATAAGATCGAAGGCTATGAACATTATACTTTGCCTTAATGATGACATTATAATTAAGTTTTGTTTTTCTTGGATGGATTGTAAATAAATTAAGAGAAGATGGGGTGCCTAGAGGGCAAATGTCACAATTATCACACTAGAAAATTCTAGTAGTTCTTTAATATTGCCTTATAGAAGTAAGAATTTAAAACTGGTATACTATACTAATTGGTATAACATGAGAAGAAGGTAGATTAATTAAATTTTGAATGTAATACTAAAACTTTGCAACATACTTAGAAAAAAGATGCCCATAAATTAATACAAAGAACCTGTTTCAGTAAACTATAATATTTATTTCACCAGTAATATAAATGCTTATAATCAGCCATGCTATGGTTTAATGATACCACTCAGGATAAAAGAATGCTTCAACAGCAATACAAGATACTACAAACATTCAATTATAGAAAACCTGATGTTTACAAAGTCGATGCAAATACTGTAGTACTTTTTTTGACAACCTGTATGTATTTATGAAATACACAAATAATACTGATATCCAATTGCCAGTGACCATGCTTATTTTTAAAAATAACAAATTATCTGTATAAAAATTCTAACATGCACAAATTGTTTCTACAGCTAATGTTAATAAGATGAAACAACTGTATGTTATGGAACAATTGAATGGTTGGCAGGTTTTCTCTCACTAATAAACTGTACCGAAGTAACCACACATAAAGAACTATATGTATATAGTTATATATATATATATATATATATATATGTATATGTTATATATATATATATATATAACA